TTTTCCAGCCTCAATAATTCTGTGATTCCATCCCAGGGAGCATCCTCCTACACTGACCCACGGGGCAGACTCAAGACAAGCAGGGTCCCCAGAGCTCCAGCGACGCCTCAAGTTTCTCACGGCAGGTTGAAGAGACGACAAGAGTGCTTAAGGGCATTCTGTGGGCATCTTCAACATCAAATACAGACACGCTGCGAGGCAGGAGTTGAGAGGACGCGGATAGCTGATGGTTTTGGTCAGGTATCTAACCCCACAGGCTGGAAACTTCACTTCCATGCATTTACAGCGGAGGTCACAACGAATGCAACCACCTCTCCCAGTTCCTAGACACAATAAACTCTCTGCATCCAGCTTGGTCTACGTTTTACGGTTCTGTGAAACAGCAACACTTCTCCAGGAGCGGAAGATCCAAGGTACGCCGAGACGACCCACCAGAATCCTGCGACCCACCAGAATCCTGCCACCTCCTCCCAGAAGGCTCTGGCAGTGCTGCGCAGACGGCGCGTGCCCAACTGCCTCGCCACTAGCCAAGCGCCCAACGGGAGCCATCGGGCTAATTAACACACCGAGTTTAAGCACTCTGGTACGACCGAGGAGGGCGTGTTATAAATATCCCCGCTGCAGCCAGGACTCGCAGCATTGCATAGGCCACCCGCGGCGTTTAATAAGGGAAATAAGTGCGACAAGACACATTTCTCCGCTCCTCGGCCACCGACTGCGCTCAGAAAGCGGGACGCCCACTGCTCTAACAGCTCTGCTTCCTTCTATTAAAGGTTCCCCTCATTAATTATCATTACGATCTGCATCCCGCTCAGGACTTCCATTAACAAGAATTCCCGATGTAACACGACTATCGGGAACCGGTTAAAAACTGCGGCATGATGCCGGGGAGGGAGCAGGTGAGACAGCACAGTGGCTAGTTCGGGAAAGGGCTGCCAAGCCAAGCAGAAGCCTGACCTTTCCCGTCGAGAGCTCCTGTGAAGCGATAAACTTCTGCTCACTCGCGACGTCCTCGCCCCTCCCAGCAGCCCAGCTAAGCCCAGAGCTCAGGTCTTGCTTCTCCAGACTCACAAGACTGTAAAATGCATCCCTGAAACCACCAGCCCTCGGGCACTACGCCGTTCCTTCCAAGGAAGACCTTCTGCTCCGTTAACGCCAACTCCTTGGTGAGCAGAGGAATCCCCACGAGAAGTGAGAAGCTTCCCCTTCCCCAGAGGAGCTGGCCAGGTCACCCTCGTGGTGACTCCCGTCCCATCCTCTCCTGTCACCCCACAAGCTCCAGGAAGGAGAACGGCTTCAGGAGGTGCCCGCAAGACAAAGCCACGTCGCACCTCCAGGTCAGCTGAGCCCTTCGCCACCACGCAGGAAGCTCTGGGAACACACTCCAACCCATTCACTTCACAGTCCCTTGAGCATCAGGCCCTCCCGGGTGCAAGGGACCGCTCTGGTTTCTTCTGCTGCTATCTAGCGGCTTTATTGCGAAAGAGACATTTATATTCTGAGCACCAGCACTCAGATTAGCCGTGCGGGTTTCAGCGAGTAGAAAAGGTCTATGAGCGGAAAACAATGATTCATACAATCCAATTTGCTGATATATGCTCATCGGCTACACGCTGCTGCCTCCAAAGAGCCGTTTGCGCCGCCTGGGCTGACCCGCGGCAGATACAGGAGGCCGGCACAGAATTAGCATGCAGGGCGCGCGCCCCGAAACGTCGGCGCGCATTCCATCACGGCGTAATTAGAAAAACGAGGCGAAGAACCACGGCAAAGAGCAGCTCCCCCTCACAGCCTCTGCTTTAATTCCGAGCAACTACCCCACCATCCCCCAGCTTTCCAGCCTAAACCGAGGCAGGGAAGATGCACAGAAACACGCGGAGGACACCCGGATCAGCTCTTCCCGCCCGTCCTCCCGGTTTTGTTCCTGAGCACGGGGGCTGGACTCAGGCTGCCATCAACCCGTGGAGCCAAGCTGAGGACGACTGGTGAGGCGGGAGCAGGCTGCTAAAAAGATGTTCAGCCGGCCCATCCCTCAAAGCTGCTCTGGGTGTTCGATGTCATTCTGGAGACTGTTCTTTCCCAAGCTCATTTGCATTTTGGATTTCAGCCCACAGTCTAGTTACAAGAGACAGCTCTCACCTGCTTCCTGGCCTTCTCCTCCCTGGCCTGTGCCTTCATCTGCTGGACCTCCAAGGAGTCTGCCTTCCTCCTCCTCATGAAGAGGTCATGGTTTCCGATGCACAGCTGAAGAATCTGCTCCAGTCAAGGGTGAAGAGTGGAGAGAAACAGCCGTACACGTGACGAGGCGGTTTGTATTCTTGACACACACAAACACTAGAACTGCTTCAGTCTGATGCTTGTAAGCGCTGCCACCCACCAACCTCAAACCCTACGAGCTCTCATGCCCACAGGAGAGGCAGGGAGCCAAGGCACAGCTGAGTCCCACTATCAGCTCTTTGCAGAGGCCAAATTTCTGGTTTCCGTGCGACCAGCACAGCACATTTCTGGCAAGTTTTCTACCGGCCCTAAAAAGGCATCAGGCCAAATAACGAATCAAAGAACTCTACAGCTCGGACTGGTTTCCTGGATCTCACTGCACCTTTTCTTTAGGCTCAAGATGAACTTGCACCTTTTCCCAGCTGCATGTTTAAAGCATTGAGATTTAAAAAAAAAGAAAAAAAACAAAGAAGGAAAACCACTTTCCACCTTGGACAAACAGCAAGCTTATAAAAAACTTCCTTGGACATCTTTGCTGAAGGGTTTTGAGCATCAATGTGGCTTCCTCTGGTACACAAGCAGGACAAGGAAGGTGACAATACTAGAGGAGGGTTAGCAAAGAGTGGGTACACAGAAGAGTGAAAGCTCTTTTCAGCAACAAAAGCAGGCGTCTAAACTCAGGTTGTTTTCTAAGGGACTGATTCACACACTCATCTTCCATTTCACAAACCACAAGCGACTCCTCTGGAGTCAGAGGAGCTACAGCACTAAGAACGCGAGCAGTGCAGCGAATCAGACCTTTGCCAGGAAGCCCCCCTGCCCTACGGCCTGCGAAGTACACGCCAGCCTATAACCAGGACAGCAAAGTTCCCTCCCCTCTCCTAGGGGAAAAAATATCTCCCTCTGCCTCCTGCAGCTCCTTCGTGTGACTTAACACAGCGCACAGCTCCTCCAGACACCAAGAGCAGAACGCAAGCTAAAGCTGGGCTCTAACACAACAGCTCAGCGCAGCCCCCTCCACTTCTGTACGAGGGGAGTGTCCTCAGAGGGCTGCGACTCCGACAACAGCGCGTCCCCAGACAGGGAGAGCTACGTCACAGGACAGAATGGAAAAGATCCACAGGAGAAGGGGAATCTGGAGCAAAGTTTGGGGTGATGAGAAATTTTACTTACTAAATGTAGGTCAGCTGCAACACGAGGGGTCAGAAAGGAAGCACAAAAACAGGAGAGGGGCGAGAGGTTCAGAGGTTCTGTGAAGGAGCTTGACTTGAGCTTCCCCCTGCTCTTCTAGACGCTAAGACCGAGTTGTAATCGCTCTCCCAAATCGAATCTACAGCCAGCCAGGCCACCACGCTCCCTCCAACTGCTCAAAGGGAAAGCCCCAAAAAAACACTCCTGCTGCTGGCAATAAAAATTACTTTGTCTGTAGACTTACCAGCTTATTCACAAGCAGCTTTGAGGAATTGAATTTAAAAACGTCAATCTTTTTGTCCAATGGCTTAATCGTAAACTGAAAAGAAAAAGAAAATAAAGAGGGTGAGAGTTATCAGGGAACCACGCATTTAATAAAAACGGGAGCTATAAAAATCTTACTGAAAGCTCTGGCTCGGAGGAGGTCAGCAACATCAGACAAACAAGGCTGAGAGCTGTCCCCGTGGCTGTTAGCCAAGGAAGAGCTGGTATCAAAAGCAACCAAGGAGACAACTGTTCCTTGTCACAGTGTCACAGGAGCAGCGAGTGCTGTCCACCTACAGACTGCAACGCCCGCCAGCCCGCGCCCTCCACAGAGCACCTTGCAGAGACAGCTCCCGGGCAAGATGCTGCTCTCCTGGAAGAGGTCGGAAAACCCACAGGAGAATCTCCTGATGCTTCCCAAGGAAGAGCTCGTGGAGAGGGTGATCAGGCGTGGGATGCACTGCCCAAGGGAAGGGGGGGAGTCACCGTCCCCGAGGGGTTTTAAGGAGAGGCTGGATGTGGCACTTGGTGCTGTGGTCTGGCCCGTGTCATGGTGCTGGGTCACAG